TAAAAAACTGCTTGATACAAGGTCATATTTATAACCCGTTTTTAGAAAAAAAAATGAGAAAATGTTCAATTTTCTCAATAATAAAAACAAAATAAAGTACTTTTTTAGTCCAAAATCTAATCATTCAAATGGTATAAAACATTCAGTCTGATCTTTTCTCCCAAAAAAAGCTAATAAAAATGACTGAAATGCCTATACTTATCTGTTCTTCTAAGACTATTTATTATAGATAATATTTTTTTACTTTAGGAATCTTAAATCTAAGTAAATAATACACTTTCAGTTGAATTAAAAAAAAAATACTTTCAGAGAATTTTATAAGTTTTTACAGGTGAACAGGTAATCTAATCGCACATTCATAATCACCCCATCAAACTCTATTAAATCATGAATAAACAAATTCAAAAATAAAATCTATTCAAATTGAGCATTTTCTTTTTCGGTTCTTTACTTTGTAGTTTTTGTGAAATATTGCGTGCTAAGTTTTTTATATCAGCAGTTTTATCATCAAGTTGTTGTCCAAGTTCTACAAAAACAAAAAAGAAACTATTTTTTTTGTTATAGCTTTTAGCATTTATACGTGGATCAGACAAAGGTTCGATCATTTCTTGATGAATTCGTTTAACATCTTCTGTAAGTTCTCTAATTTTATGAATAAGTAATCGAATTAAATCAATCTAAAAGACAAAAAAAAATTAAAATTTTTTTTGTTTCCTATAAAAAAAGCATAAAATTATTCATACTTGAGCTAAAAATTCAGTCACAGTATGTTCTCTATCCGCATCATTTGGATTAAGGGGGATACTACATTCACTGGTAGTATGTTGCCATTCATGGCTTCGATGCTAAAAGTTCAAAAATCAATTTAAATTTGTTTGAGAAAAATTTTTTTTGACAAATGCAAGTAAAGCATGACATAAAATAAGCATGTATAGTCAACAATAACAACAACAACAACAAACAATTATAACTCGCCCTCTGGTATATTTTTTTTCTTTTATCTAAACTCTGAATATTTTGCAAGCGATTAGCATGTTAATACTTGTCGTGAAATTTTTTTATACGCAACACGAGGCCATGGATGCTACAAATAAAAATCAAAAATCGATTGTTAAAATAAATTAAGATTTTTATTTTAACTTACAGGTTTTTGTAAATCTTTTATTCTATCTTTCGTCATTTGTCAATAATTAAGTTATTAATGATAAAATTAAAATCATTTTTTTGTTATTTATTTAAATTAATAATTAATATTAATAAAATTGTTTTCCTTTTGGATGTTTCCTATAAGATTCTATTGGTACGTGAAATTTTTAATACTAAATAGGTTTTTTTTGGCTTAATGACGATATAGTTATTAATGAACCAATCCTTTCGAATCACAGCAGTCACCGATAGACTAGTAGTGTCCTCTGCTTCGTGATAATAAGGCCAGGTAGTAACGAACAGATTGAAAATGTATTCAAAAATACACGAACGAATGTCTAAATGCGTTTGAAATAATTCAAGCGCGCTGTAAACAAACAGACAAACATATCAAGAACTACTATCTCCTAATGATAAATAACCTTCGAGATGCACGTGTTCCACCGTTCCGAATGAGTAGTTCTAAATATGCCTTATTGATTATTTTCTTTTTACAGCGTCTTCATTTAATTATCTACAATATGTTTGTATCGTTTTAAATACGCTTCGACTTTTGTTCGTATGTTTTGAATATATTTTCGTTTCAACCTGAGAAACGGTACAATTTTATTGAGAATCTCAATAGAAGTTCTTCACATATAGTCATATATTCATGTATGAATTTGTTTTCATATATTTCTACTTAGATTTTGTATCGAATTCGATTGAAAATCGACATTTTCAAAAATGTCATTATGAATAATACTTGTCATATTTGTCATTGCTCCTCTCTGTTTATTCTAATCGATAATGACAGTGTTATTAAAACATTTAATTATAATTTCTTCGTATTTAATATTATATTCTATGTTACCTTATTTAATATTTTAATTCTCTATGTATCTCCTATGAAATATGATTGAACTAACCGTTTTATTCAATGTTAGTGTGAGAAAATAATTCGAAAGTATTTATTGGACTGAGAATCTTTTGAAATTCATACTATATTGCGAATATCCATTCCACTAAAGAATGTTCATGCAAAAAAAAAGAATTACTAGTAAACACATTCATGAAAACATAGAAATCAATCTTAACCATAAATAACGAGTTCTATATTTTGATGAGTGCATTTATAATCGACAAATATATATTCTATATCCAAAAGAATACATTCTTTATCATTCAATGCTATTATTGAATGCTTTCTTCACAGTTCAAAATTGTTCTTCATCTGCATAGAACATTTTTTGAAAAGTTCCAATAACTATTGATATAATTTTCTTTCTATTCTTTTTTTTTGAAAATATAGAAACGGCATTTTATCATAATGAAATCACTTCTTGTGACATGCTTTGAATAATGTTTAACTCAATGAAAACATCCTGCTATATTGAGAAAGAATATTGATTATCTCAGATTGTGTTTATATGAAGTAATAAAAAGACTATTAAGAATATTCGGATTTATTAGCTAAACGAATAAGTATAAAATATTATTTTCAATGAAGTAAAATCAAACTTTTACAACAATTTGTATGGTTAATGTGTAATTCAATAGTTTTATTTGAATATCTGACTGTAATATCGTTGAAAATTATGGACGCAATATTCATCTTCTAGCATATCTACATGAATAAATAATTATTTTATAAATACTCACAATCAATAAATTTACTGAATTAACCCTTTACTCATTAATTCTCATTTTTTAGCGAGATTTAATGCTTTACAAGACGTAGAATATCTTAGATGAGGATCCATGTAGTTGCTGTGACGACTCGTTGTGCGACTAGACGCAACTTTGTTTTTGATGAAATTAGATAGAATTCGAGGAGCTTGTGAAACTTGTCTGTTTTTTAATACTCTTGGTGTATTTGTTGTTCATATGGTCGTTAAGTAGGGCGAATGATGCTTGTTATAAGATACACTGTCATTCGCTTTTGAGAAGAGAGAGAGAGAGAAACATTGACGTGAATAAATGGTTAATGGGAAATTAAGTCTATATGTTTGATTTATGTCTGTACTTTATGTGTGTTTTTCAAGCGTTTCTGTCATTATCTTTATATATCCATATGCAATAGCTTCTCAAAATAAAGGCCGATTAGGTAAGGTCGCTATATAGATAGGCATGATGATCAGTTGTATTTATGTCATGAACTGAGAGATGATTGATGTTTTTTTATGAACGATCATAAAGTATATGGTTTAATATATTGTGAGTTGATCTTAATAGAGAAAGAAGAGGAAAAACAAAAATTTTTGAAAGTTTGTTCATTTTAACTAGAAAGTTATCTTTTCTCAATATATATAACCAGAGTGAGCATTGGAAATTTTCATGTAAACTAGACCAATGGCGAAAGTGAGACTCAGATTTGAATTTTCATTGATTGCATTTTATTTGTTTGATCTACGATAATATTTTCTTTTCTATTTACTAACGAAATTTTATTTAGTCTGGCGACAAAGTATCAAATTTTTGTTTAGAGAAGATCAGATCAACATGGGAAGAAATCTCTAAAGAAATTAGTAGATGCGATCACATCACTTGGTCAGGTAGTAATAAATACGATGAAAATGGTTATGGCACTTATGTTAGATGTGCTATAAGAAAAAAATGCTATATGAATTATCCATATATGTTCGTTCTGTTAGATATTTTTCCTAGTGTGTTCTTTTGCTTTCTTCTTGTACTTTCGTTCTTTTCTTTGATCTAACAACTTTCGTTCTTTTCTTTGATCTAACAACTTTTGTTCGTTTTCTTCAATATCTATTGTTACGTAAGAGAATTTATGTTGATCTCTTTTTTTTTCTCGTTTCCAAATTGCGGACATTTTTTTCTTATCGAGTAATTAACAGTGTTAATTAAGAACAATATTTATTGAGAACAAAAATAAATAAATAACAAAAAACCTGTTTCTCGTCGCTATTGTCTTTGGCATCTTTGATAATGTGGATATAATGATGAGAAACTGATCGTAATGTTTTTTGGTATGCGTCAAAATCTTTATCTTGTACATATGTCTTTTCTGCATACATGAGTTTATTATCATCTTGTATAAATCTTCCTTTTCTTCGTCTTGTTGTTTGTTTTTGCGCTTGTTCCTGCTCATAACGGCACATAACGGATTTTTCCGATGATCTAGTTTCATTAATCCATGCCCGAAGATCAGGATCTGTTCTAACTCTGGGATTTAATTGTCGATGATAACCTTCGAGATGATTATTTGTACGTGGTCTAATACCAATATTATTAAAATGATTCCACATTTAAACAGCAAATCGAGCATCTTCTACATCATTTTTAATAACATAATCAGTTAATTTATCTAATTTTGAATCATAATTACATAACTCGTCAATAATTTTTTCCATAGAATTATCAATTTCAGCTGGAGGTATTAAAGGTAATGCAATAATGTTCGCTATTTGACGGCGAATGTTTTCTTCTTTGGATAATTTAACTAAATTGTATTTTTTTTACTTTCTTCCATATATTTTGTGCAAAATGAAAATGGCATCCTTTCACTGCTGTTTGTGGAAATATATCATTAATGGCATTAATCATTCCTTGTTCGAAATCTATTAAAATTGATGATGGATTTAATATAATATTTTTTTTTGTTGCATATGTAAGTAATAATTTAAGTAATTCATGATAGCATACTTCTGATTTATCTTGACAACATGAATAAACTATTGGTTTCATACTAAATTCATCCTATACATGTAAGTAGTATGATTGACTAAATAATGCAGGTGATGTCCGAAATGTTCCATCATCATTCCAATGTGGATTGATACTTAATAAATTTAATGCTTGTTCTGAACCAAATGCTATAACTTTATATGGTTCTGGTGAATTACAAAATCAAAATTCTTGTTTATCATTATTGTAACACATATCTTCTGGAATTATAATTGATGACAACGATTTTGGTGTTCGAGGTAATATTGCTTTACGCACAGAATACAAAGTTGGTTTCTAAGCGTCGAAGACTGGAATTGGACCAGCTGTACCGTTTTCACGACGCTAAATACAGCAACTGTAATGGTTTATATGAGATAAGCATAAAGGAGCATGTACTTACAAATCGTTTCACTTCGTCTTCATAAAGTTTTGTAACAGGTTCATCTACATCAGTTAATCTTCGATGTTTTAATCCACAAAGCATGGTGCGAACATTTCCAGGCAATTTTAGGTCATAGTTATGATTTTCACCATTGTTTTTTATAATTGCATCATTTTTTAAAGTAATGATACGAGAACACCATTTGAAAGTACAAATAGAGATTAATGAACCATTCTGATTTTCACGTTTTAATCGATAAAGGTAACTATTATATAGAATAGCCTTTTCACCTTTTTCGGTTGTTGACCAAACAAAGGTTGTATTCATTTTTTGATATGTAGTGTGATTCTTTTGTGCTCATGATACATATATATTATGTATTGATCAAAGAACAGAACTCATAATTTAATCTTTCAATAATTGATTAATCAAATCAAAATGTCCGTAATTTGGAAACGAGAAAAAAAAGCGATCAACATCAATTCTCTTTTCCAAATTGCGAACACTGATGTGTTAGTTGGCTTTACTTTTGTCCGCAATTCGTACATAGTCTATTGTTATTCTTTTTTTTCTTTTCTCGTAAAAGTCAAGAAAAGATTTTTCTTGATCTTGAACTGAAATTTATTGCGCAGTTAGTAGTGCGTGACTACATATATATATATAGTTGGGAGTAATTTCGAGGAGTGAGAGAAGGTGTTGGATGTGTATATGGTACAAACATCAATGTAAAATAAGGACGTAACAGAGATCATACTAACTTTGATTAAGAAGAGTATTTTTCTGTGATACTGAATAATAATTTATTTCTACATTGCGATCCATCGTTGCAACTACAGTAGGTCAGGGATCCTAAGCACGTACCAACAAAGCAGTTTCGAGTGAGACTGATGAAAAATCACGGTAATCATCCACTATAAATACAGATACTAGTTCAAATAATCCTCCGATATATACTATCTTTTATTGTCTTATTGGTAATTTTATATTTGTACCGTATGTATGCACATCAGGATATTCCACTTTTTCGTGTAGAATAATAATTGAAAATTTGAATAAAAATTAATCTACTTAGGACAATCTGAAGGTAGTATCATCCTCATCATATTTCCGGATAGAAAGCTTGAAGAAATTTTCTTTTTATATGTAGCGATAGAAAAAATTTTGTAAAATATGATGGTTGTACCAATGCTATTTGAAAAAAAGGTCGAGTATTTTTTCGAGTAACTTTTTATAAGAACAAGATAGAGAACTGCGGTTTTCACCTTTCGAAAGAGGAGATAAAGATGCGTTGAGTCGTATACTATAAGTTTTCCAAATATGTTGTTTAAAGTTTATTAAATCAATTTTTTTAAGTCTCAAAAAATAGTTATTTATCAAAAAGCAAATAGCAAAAGCAATTTTTATCACAAAAATTGCCAGAAAAATCATTTATAGCTTCGATTAGAATACCAATAGCTCCTGAATAGTTAATTCTAAGAATATCAATCTCATGCAGTTTTGTAGATATGCCATTGACGATTTGAATGCACATCTGACAATTGAAAATTCACTGTAAACACTTCGTAAAGTAGGTTTATTTTCAAAGAAGTCGATTAGAAACCTTAAAAAAATCAGATCGAAAAAATCTAAGGTATACGATTCGATGCAACTTCATCTCTTCTTTCGAACAGTGGAAACCACAGCTTTCTATCTTGCGCTTATGAAAAGTTATTCAGAAAATACTCATTCGACCTTTGTTTTCCAAATAGCATTAGTATAACCATTATATTTTACAGAAAAACAGTTCTTATCGAAATTTTATTCTGATGGTATTAGTTCAAGAGTGATCAAATAGCACAGGAAAATAAAGCATTGTTTTCTCTACCGCTGCATAAAAGAAGAAAATTTCTTCAAGCTTTTTATACGGAAATCAGATAATGACGACACTACTTTTGGATTGCCCTAAATACATTTAACGGAATCCATTTCTACAGAATTCACAGGTTGTTAGCCTTTCAAAGCAAACCTAGCCAATAAACACGTCCTTAGCAGAGACTGAAATCGAACTGAATCCGAATTGAAAGATTTCTATTCATTCTGATCTCTAGTTCTCAATCGTTTAGGGTCCTACCTTCTTCGGTGATATTGCCCCTTCGAAATAGATAGAATTTTTTGAGAATTAGCTTCCAGAATCTTTGTATCTACGCAAAATACATAGCCCAACTCTTCAAACTTGAGGCACAATTCAACTATTAATTCATTTTATACACTTCCTCGTTGAGTTTTGTCCGAGAGCGTTCTTTTGAGACAAAATGATTTTGTGAATATTGTCAAAATAAAAAAGTTTGATTTTAGTATTAAACTCAATGTGTTGAATGTAATGATGCGATTGAAACATTTCTCAAGTTGTACATCGCAATTTCGAAAACTCTAGACTTTCTTCGCATCGAAGGAGACTCATCTCCAGAACAACATTACCATCCCAGTCAATAATTTTGAAACAATCGTGTATACTTGTATTACATGCTTTCTTCTTAGTGAAATCACGTCTCTTAGTCGCCTTCTACAAACTCCTATTATCGATTTTGGTATCGCACACCATCACATTTCATCATTGCTCAAGACATTCAATGCATGAGAGACTGATGCAATTAATTATTTCGAAAAATATAGTGTCTGAACAAACTCAAGAAATTGTCAGAGAATTGTTTGCACAGCCAGTAGTACCACGAGCATATCAACGACGATATGGTCAATATATTCTTGATCCATAAGAGTTTTATCGCGATCAAGGGTTTCTTCCTTTTCTACGTGAATTGATAGCGAATGTTGAAAAATGTCTTTCTGTATTTGGTCATTTACATATGCAATTACTTACTCACCTATGATCGGAACGTAGTTCTACTACGAGCTGTTCAATGACTGAACTATATAAGTGATTAATGGAAGAATTCGTAGACAATTTACTACAACCTCTACCACGTTTCGATGAATTGGAGAGATGGAAAAATGAATGTATGAATCTCGTGAAATTAAACTACGTGAATTTATGGGTGAATAAATTACTTATCAGATGTGATTCTATTCTTTATCCAAATATACATTTTTTACTCGTATCTCTTGCTACTCTTTCGGCTACTACTGGCTCGGCAGAGCTCGCTCAAACATATCAAAACTTATTGTGGATCAACAACGGTTGAAAATTGACTCAACGGATTTACAGCTGTATTCATTCACAAAAATGTGGAAATTAATGCTAAGAAAATTGTTGATTTATTCATACAAAAATATCAGCGGTGTTTAGATTTTGGATTATAATCTATATCATCTTTTTTTTAATGAAAATCGACCGTAACCGATAGTTTTAATAGAAACCGCCAGTTAACCGTGGTTAATCCATGGTTTTGTTCAGTTACTTGTAGTAATGATAATTTATAAAAAACAATTAATGGCAAACATATTCATAATACCGAAAGTGTATCCGTTACCACAAAAAAAGATTTATTAGATATTTTCTTTCGACATACGAACTGCTTTTGTAATTAACAGATATTATATTAAGTGTGTAAAACAGAGGTCCATACTATTTTTTTTTTAAATTTGACTAGGTTATTGATGTGTCTATTCATCCTATATTCTATTTTGACTTACCGATATATGTTGTAAGATGCACCATGCATACGCATCAGATAGTCTACATTTTATTGAATCTTTTTATTACATTTAGATTTAGTCCGGTCAAGGTCTTCGAAGTACTCTTCTAACTTTTAAGAAAATCGCTCATTGATTTAGCTGTTTTCAATTGGATATAGGTCATTAATAGACAGTTGTAGTTTGATTTCTAATTATGTCTTCCTCAGATATGCACCTAAAAAATCTGTGTTCATATCTTGCGATTAATCGTCATAATCGATACTCAAATAGTTAAATTGAATTATCTTTTTTAGATTTGATCCAACAATGATCCACATGCCAGTAGGAATTAAAAAAAAATAAAATTATTTTTTATTATTTATATTTGATCCAACAACTAATCGAAATGTAAGTATGAATTGATCAAATTAAATTGTATATTCATTTGCAAAATATATTGTGCATATCGTGCGTACAAGATGAGAAACGGGTTGAGAGGATAGTGATAAAAAAACCATCGGTTAATCAAAATTAACCGTCAGTTAACCGACGCTTTTTGCTGATCCGAGCGATATGGGAACTATTTTTGTTCTTTTTTTTTGTGCTTATCATTATTGCTTATTTGTGCTATTTTTTGCTACTTTTTGTTCTATTTGTGTTTATTGATATTGACTTTAATTATATTTGTGCTTATGCCGTTTTTGTTTTATTTGTGCTTATTTATGCTAATTTTTGTTGTATTTGGGATTAATTTATGCTGATTTTTGTTATATTTGTGCTTATTTAGGCTTTTTGACATAATATATTCAAATAGTTGAAAGCTGAGGAGTGTATTTGTGAAATAACACAAGAAAGCGAATAAGCTCGCCTCTTGGTTATGAATGACGAACTTCTCTTCAATAACCATCGATTTTTGTGAGAGCAAAAAGTCTTAACAAAATTTTATCCCAATTGATATTTGCTTACTCATTGTTGCCCACTTCTCAAAATAATTTAGCTGCGAAATGACCCATGACTTAAAAATTCCTGGCTATACCACCGAAACGTTGACTAGAGAGGTACAGCTTTCATCTTCACCCAGTACCGTATGATGTGTTAATCAAGCCAATTAGTATATGGACTGTATTCAATGTGAACAAGTACCTTCGTTTCATCTCATTTTTATTTCTTATCTTTTCTTCTAACTATGTTATATTTTCTTTCGCCGTCTTTTTCTCTTCTTTTAGCAGTTGTTTATGTAAAATGTCATCAAAATAAGTGACTGCATTTTTTCTTTTTCTAGTCAATTAGGAAGCAAGAAAGTAATAGATAGAAATTCATAAGCAAAGTGTTCGAAATCTATCATAATCTTAAGATCTCTTCTACAGTCTTGGATTTCTTTATTTCAATTTAGATAATCGATTCATATGTGGAGCTGACTAATGGTTATCAGTTGTTGTAAATTCTTTTCATCTTCTTCGCTATCATGAACAGAAATAAAATTAAACCCATACACTTTAACCCTTTCTAGTCGATGGGCCCCACTGGTGGAATCCGCCATATTTTAAGAAAATGACTAGAAAAATACTTTCTTTTCCTTCTTCCTTAGGCAGAAGGTTATGTGTAATGTATCATCTGCTCTCCCTGCTATTGTTTGAATTATTTATTGCATAGCATGATGTTTTTCGTTGAAACAACCAAGACGATAAAAGTTATCACAATCAGAACAGAAGGTTTTTATTTTCTTTGTTGTCGCATTACTTGCTTTTCTTGATTGTTGTTGTCTAATTTTCTCGTAGCAACCAGCACACTGTCTTTGAACATCGCGATCCGACCCTTCCTTTTCTTCGAGCTTGTGATCAGTGAATTTGCGTTTCGTTTAGCTTGTTGATTGTTGCTTCGGATCAGGTTTCAGCTTCGCGAATGGCGTACCAAGCAGTAATGATCGAAAAAGACTTTCACGAAACTGTAACATGGTCATATGGCTTCTATTACAATTTTCCTTATAAATCAAATAGGCATTAACGCTGTACTGGTTGCTACGAGAAAATCAGATAGCAACAATCAAGAAAAGCAAGTAATGCGCCAGCAAGGAAAATAAAAACCTTCTGTTCTGATTGTGACAACTTTTATTGTTTTGGTTGTTTCAACGAGAAACATCATGCTATGCAATAAATAATGCAAACAATAGCAGGGAGAGCAGATGACACATTACACATAACCTTTTGCCTAAGGAAAAAGGAAAAGAAAGTGTTTTTCTAGCCATTTTCTTGTTATGGCAGGTCCAACCAGTGGAACCCATCGACTCGAAAAGGTTATGTAATATAAAACATGAGACTCTTCAAAGAAAAATATTTTAGAATGTGTTACAATATTCCCAAAAGAAGTGTAAATAAAGAATATGTCAGATTTCTCTCGTACTGCCTATAAACAAGATATATAGTCGTTCCTGAAGAAGATCATAAAATTTTCTTGAACATTTCTTAAAGTTTGCATTCAAATATAATAAAATTCACATAAAATCTTATATTGAGTATAAGCTACGTACGCGCTCATGAAGTATTTGTGAGTCTAAAATAATTTAATATAATATCCTACTTTAACTCCAATCTAGTAGATTTCATATAGGATTCAAAGAGTTAAAACCAATTAAGTTTTCTCATAGTTTCAGTACAACAAAACAGTACTAAATTTTATATATGAAATTTTTCTATAATCTATAAAAAAAAACAACAAGTTCTATTGTATTCTTCAAAAACATATAGAAGACACTTCTAATTGTTGAAAATCCTTTGTGTAACATATACGGAAATGAAACTTCTTTTACTAATGATGGAAATTCGAGTATGAATATTGTAACAACATGAAAAAGAAAATGTTTGACAAATAAAGCTAAACTTTTTTGAAAAGTAAATCAATTATTCTTTAATATTGTTAATAGGACAGGTTTGAAATAATAAAAGAGAAAAAAAACTGATCCATAAATATATTTTTCTTATGCTTCTCAATATATAATTTAAATAGATATTTCCAAAAATAAATTTTATAAAAATGACTTTTTCTCATTAAAAACAGATTATCTTGTTGTTATAGAAGTAAGACACAAGTCTCCTTGAGATACTTTTTTTTTCTAAGAATCTTAAATAGATTCTTAAGTGTACGTCAAATTGCTTTTTAAATTATAGATATCAACATAGAAGAAAGAAAAGCATCATTAATTTTAGAAACAAGGTAAAAATTTTTTTTCACATTTTGTAACTTTTGCAAAATATATACTGTAGTATGTTAAAGAACTATTAAATTTAAGACAATCGAAATTTGGCAAGCACATCGAGAGATAATTCATCTTTTATGTTAAAGATTGTTTTTTATGCATATGTTAATTGATCAGTATAAGATAGTCTGGATAAGTTTTTTGTTAAATTTTATAATATTAAGCGTACAGTATGACAAAAGAAAGTTTGATAATTTTAAAATATATCTAGTTATTATTATTTTAAAAATAATATATTTTTTTCACCAATTTAATTAATAGAAAGCGATTCTTATTTTTTATTGTTATGTCTTCGTAAAAAAAGAAAGAGCGTTCACATTTATTATAAAATGTAAAAAGAAGCATCGGGAAAATTCTTTTCTAAACCTATTACCTATTTCAGGTCATTATTACTTGCTAATGCAATCTATTATAATAGTTATGAATAATAATAAAATTTTCATATTTAATGTAATGCGCCAGAAAAAGAAAACATATCCTCTGGGTGCTACAGATCATTTTCCGTTTTCTATATTATGTCTAAAAGGTAGAACATTATATCGGAAATTAGTTTTTTTTTATTCTCATATTTGCATTAGGGAATTGCACACCATTAAGATTTGTAGAGCTTTTTTTTCTCGTCATAACAATTCATTTAACTTTCAAAATACTATGTCATCGAACAAATTAAAATGCACTTGTGTGTGTGTGAGTGTGTGTATTTGACATGGTTCATTTATAAATCGATAGAAAAACTCAAAGTAATTTTCTTTTTTTGCTTCGTCATGATGATGAAATGAGATATAGAAAATATTATTACTCAAAAAAAAGAAATTTCATAATGTCATTTATTGTTCAGTATTAGATATAACTAATCATTAAAATGTTTTCAAGTACTTCACAAAATTCACTATCAATACACAAAGCAACATTTGATATTGAGTAAGATATAGTTGAATAGATAAAATCATTTTTAATTTGTTTGTTTATTTTTTATTTTATATTTTAATTAGAATTAATACACCTTTATCAGATGAAGAAAATAATCATCAACGATTTAATGTTGGATTTCCAAAATTATTTCGTAATGTATTTAATCATTCAAAAAAACATAAAGTTTTACAACCAGAAAATGAAATGACAAGATTATCAAAAACATTAATGAAATCAAATGAAACAACTGAAACATTAGCAAGTATGACAAATAATACACATAATAACGATATATGTTTATTTTCTGATAGTCCACATTATATTGTTCGAGTATGATTCATATACATATATGTATAATCATTTATTATATTAATATAATTTAAAATTTTTAGATTGCTGGAACAGGAAATACAGATGAATTCGAACGTCTTATTCGTGCTGATCCAAGTAAATTAAAAGTAGCTAATCCAGTTGGTCTTTGTGCAGCTCATAATGCTGCTGCTCGAAATCGAGTTGGAATTTTAGCATTAATTGCACAATATAATGAAGGTATATTGATTAGATTTATAAATAAAAAACAAACGAGTTCTATTAATGAAAATAAGTTTAGATTTGAATATTGAAGACAAAGATGGTTGGACACCATTACATCATGCTGTACGAAATAATGCATTGAATGCCATTGAATTTCTTTTGGACAATGGAGTTAATGATGTTCATTTATCTAAACAACACGAAGCACCTATTCATCTAGCTGTTATACATAATCAATTAAAAGCTCTTGAAGTATGTTTAAATTTTTTTTTCTTTTCTAAATGATTTGATCTCGTTCTTAAAATAACAAATAGATTGATTTTGATTATTATCGGATGATAATCATAAGATCTTTTCTTATACACCAACAAAAAAAAAATACTTTGTCAAATCGATGTCATGTTTTTGACATGAAAATTAATTACTGTCGATGAATTGAATAGACTTACAAGGAAACTCCATTAAGTGATTAAAAGCTTTTGAAGTGATATTTTGCCCATAGGTAAGACACCTGGTAATACTAGAAAAAGTCCAAAAGGATAAGTCTCCATAGACTTTTCTTCCAGACCTATGACTGGTTTATTGGATGTTCAACCCATGGTTCTTAGTACGCGTTAAACGTTTCAATGAAAACGGATCTTTCTTTCTCGAGATAATGAATTGTAAAGAAGTGTTCACATTTCACAGGGAACTCAGAAAAAAAAATGATTTTTCTTATGTATTCATTATCTGGAGAAAGAAAGATTCGTTTTCATTGAAACTTTTAGCGCATACTAAGAACCATTGGATCTACATATGAGCAAAATTTCAGGTCAAAATTTCGTCATTCGATTTTTTTCTAAATATCTTCTCATGGGTTGAAAATCCAGTAAACCGGTCATAGCTCCGGAAGGAAGATCTATGGAGACTTTTTCTAGTCTCACCAGGTCCTACCTATGGACAAAATATCACTTCGAAAGCTTTTAATCACTTGGTGATGTTCCTTCCCTCGTTAGAACACGACCGCTGGATATAGTGATTTTAATTTCTGGAAAAAATCTATTTTGTTCGAAGTTTTAGAAGCATTTTCAATAGAGTTGTTACCAAATGGAAACGAGAGGAAGAGAATCAGCTTCTTCTACAGATATGACCTCGATATTAACCCCCTTCCTTCTTTCCTTCCTATTGATCTCAGCAATTTTAATATATTCCTACTTTAAAAAACATCACATTGATAATAAATGAGAAATTAAAAATGATCATAACAATTACAATAAATAAGTCAAATTAAAATATGCTTTATAATATATTAACTTATTCATAATGAATTTTTTTTGTCTTTATTTCTCTTGTTAAAAATAATATAATAAATCATATGATAAATATTTTCTATTAAGCTTCTTCTATGTAAACGTCCAGATGAAGTTAATCTTGGCGGTGAAAGAGATAAAACACCACTTCATTATGCTGCTTTAATTGATAATGTTGATGCAGCAAAAATTCTTGTATGTTTATTTAAATGATTTTCTTTTTTAAAAGGTATTATTGATGAAAATAAGATTTTTTAGACAAATTATAATGCTCGTCTTTGTCAACCATGTAATAGTGGCAGTTATCCTATTCATGTAGCTGCATTGAATAGTAGTAATCAAGTACTTAGTCATTTATTAGCAATTGGTAAATAGTTCTTTTAGTGTTTTTTGTTTTGTTATTATATTATTGTAAAATTTAGCTAAATCATTGGGATATGATACTGAACATCTTTTAAATTTTTGTGATGCTGAAAATCATCGACCATTACATTCATCTGTTATTGGTAATTATTTTATTATTAAATTAATTGAAGAAAAAAGATTTTTTTTTTCCATTGTTTTTATGAAAATCTAGGTGGAAATATTGAAGCAGTTGAGATTTGTCTAAAAAATGGAGGCAAAATAGATGATCAACAAGAAGATTTGTCAACACCTGTTCATTTAGCATCATCTCAAGGTTTAATTGAAATTCTTAAATTAATGTTTAATTGTCAATCGGAACTCAAATCAAAAGTCATTCGTATGACAGATGTTCAAGGCATGACACCATTACATAAGTATATCAAAAGAAAACAAAATATATCGTTTATTTTTTTTTTCTATTCTTTATAATTAAATTTTATTCAAAGGGCAGCCATGGGTGATCATGTTGATGTTATTGAATTTTTACTTGACGAAGTAAATTTATTTATTTATTTATTTATTTTTGATTAATTATAAATTTTAATCTTTTAATTGATTAGGGAGCTGATATTGATGTACGAGATATATCTAAACGTACACCATTATTAGTTGCTACTTTAAAATCATCAGTACAAGCTGTTTGTTATCTTTTATCTCGAAATGCTTCATTAATTTATCGAGATGAAACTGATAGAAATTTTCTTCATTTTATAATAATGCAAAATTTACCAATTGAAACAATTGGTAATATTTTATTTACTCGAGATAATTATCATACATTATTTGATCAACGTGATCAAGATGGATTTTATCCGATACATTATGCATCACGTGAAGGACAAGTTAATGTATTAAAAACATTAATAAAACATGGAGCAGAAATAAATAGAAAAACAAATCAAAGACAATCATCATTACATTTTGCTGCTGAGTAAGTGATCAAATCTAAGTAGTGGTAGTTCCTTTAAACTTATAGTATATTTAATCATGATACGACTACCTTTAGGACTACTATTTGTCGTCCACCTCGAGTCGATACGAATCCCGATTGATAAAAAAAAACATATAACACATGAAGTTATAACTATTTTATTATAGATATTTGAACACTCTAGAGAAGATTTGATTACAATAAGAACGAATAAAAAATAGTTTGAACTATCTTGTCTTTTTTTCATGGTATTAAGCCATGCATTGATATTCACATATAATTTGAACTGTTCTTATATAAGAAGCGAATGACTGCGTACGATGAACTAATGTTATTTGTGTATTGTACTAACGAGGAAAGGGTATCAAGTGATAAATTGCTTTTAAACTGGAGCTATATTCAATCGATAAGGTCTAGTGAATAAGTAAATATTCTAAAGTGATTTGACACTTAAACCAAAAATTCGGAAATTTTTCCTACAAGCTAGTCTAATCGGTGTCTTTATGTGGGCAAAGTTTCACGTCAAAACTCAAGAGTATAATTTTGCTTGAAAACTAGGGCTCTATAAGAAAAATTCGACATCTCAACAACAAAGATCCAGCAACTCGAATCACTGTAGGCAGTGTTTTATCCAGGTTTTTCATTCCGGGAGGGCAAAATCGGTTGTCCGGAGAGCAAGCAAAAATTTTCTTAGCGAAAAGCTGTTATCGCAATTACCTCTCTGAATAGTATTTCTATTTTTTCCGGAGTTTCCGCCTTCAGGCTCCCACATTAGGTAAAACGCTGACTCTAGGGTATTTACCTACTCACTAGGTCCTATCGAACAAATATAATTCTAGCTCGAAGGTAATTTGTCACTTGCGGACCTTTCCTTGTAAGTGTCCCCAGCACATATCTGTAAGGACATGGTTCGCTTATGTATTATGAATATGCAGCATTACAATGAACCTTACTGGAGTCTGAGTGAACTGCGATAGCTAACATGTGTTCACATAAATAATAAATGAACGTAATCGATGGATATTACCAGCTTAGTCTACTAGTCTTCACTAGACGATATCCAAGAGATGAGCGATTTCATCTAATATATTGTGTATTTAGAACAGTATGATGTAACTAGCTAGAATTTGCAAAGTCTTCATGTGGTCGTGTCATGATTCATTATAAACTTTAGTCTTGAAATACACTCGAGATGTCTACTAATAATTCCAATAGTTCGAAGTCATTCATACTCTATCATATGTATGGTATGTTCAGAATGTTAGTAATCATGAAACTACATAGCAGAGGTCTTGACTACAATGGTCAGCACCAAACACTTTGATCAGTATCATAGACATACAGAACATAAGCGCTTCTTTTTCAACCGATTTCTGTTCTAAAACTGGGAGCCAGGTTCAGCATAATGACGTCCTTAAATCTAAATACTTCATTCAATAATAATTAAATCTATTTTTAGATATGGTCGATATAATACATGTCGTCAATTATTACATACACCTGGTTTTAAACGCATTCTTAATGAACCTGATAAACTTGGTCAAACACCATTTCATCTTTGTTGTCAAAATGGTCATACACGTGTTGTTCAATTACTTTTACATAAAGGAGCTCAATTTACAAAAACTTTTGAAGGAAATACACCATTACATGAAGCAGCTGCTAATGGACATGTATCAACAGTGGATGTTATTCTTCAAGGTCATGCTCATTTAATTAATTCAATTAATCGTCTTGGAATGACACCATTACATTTAGCTGCTTCAGCTGGTTATGTTGATTGTGTTGATTTACTTTTATCGAAATCTGCAAAATTTTTAATAAATATTGATGGTGAAACATTTTTTGATTTAGCAATTATACAAAAACAAAAAGATATTTGTCTTACTATTATTGCTCATGATCGGTAAAATAAAACAAAAAAAAAAAAGATTTTTTTGGTTTATAAATTTTTAATTTTTTATAATTAGATGGAAAGAAGCATTAGATTTAAAAAGTTTAAAATATCAAACACCATTACTTGGTTTAATTGAACATTTACCAGAATGTGTACCAGTTTTATTCGATCGATGTATAACTCATAGTCATAATGATAAGAAACATGAAGATTTTCATGTATGTTTTCTATTATAAATTAATCATGAATATTTATTGGTTTTTTTTTTAATTTTAGCTTACCTATGATTTTCATTACATTAATTGGATGGATACAAAACAGATCGATGGAAAAGTGTATCGTTATCCAATGCTTCCGTTAAATGTAAGCTAAAAGTATTCAGCATCTGTATTGATAAAAGCAATATTTTGAAAATTCACATTGATCGAATTTTTTTAGATAATTATATTTTGTTAGAGATGACTTAAAATGATCGAGAATAGAAGGGAAACTTAAACGTGATCAGATGTAGTCTTGAAACTATCATTAACGCCAGAAATCAAAATACTAGAATGTTTTATGAATAAATCATATATTTTTTTCATCAGAAAAATTTGGAAGATTCGTTTTTTAGAGGATCTGTGAAAAAATTTTGTTGTATTCTAGTTTTTTTCAAGGATTTAAATCGACATTTTTGAAAAGCAACGTATTCCGTAAGATAACTACACTGAAATTTTTTAAGATCAGATGTGCATTCAAACCACTAGTCGAAAACCTACAAAAATATGTAAAGCTCACACTTTGAAAGTTACTCTTTTAAAGGTTATAGATATTCTGAGCCGATTCTTCTATTAATTTCTGTGAAAAAAAAACACTATTTTACATTTTTCTTATTTGATAAGAAACCATTTTGCCGGTAATTTTTTTTAGAGAATTGATTAAGAAAATCCTATAATGTGTGATTCGATGCGTCTTTATCTCCTCTTTCGAATGGTGGAAACCACAGTTCTCTATCAAAAGATATTCATAATTAAAGACTGCTCGGTGTAACTGTATTTCGTAGATATATAGATTTTAGTGTTTTCTACAGAACTGAACTTTTCTGTAGAAAAGACACTCTAGAGTATATACTTATGATCAGGGGTCTCGATGTGGGGGAGGGGGGGGGGCTAGGGGACTTGGTTGTCCGCACAAATTGGAAATCTGTTTTACTGTCTAGCAAATTTTTAAATAGACGCTGTTCGAGGATCTTCGTAAGCTACCCCCCCCCTCCCTCCTTGGCTCTGGTTTTGTTTTTGTGTATGGAACTTTTCCAAGATTTGGCTCATCCCTGAAGGGGGATAGAGGGATCTTTCCAAAGCTGCCCCCCCCCCCCCCACTCTTAAAAACAATTGAGAGCCTTGCACATGATGAAAACGTGTAAACAATACGGTATTATTAAATCCTTTCGTTAATAATTCATAGTATTTCATATTTAAATTTCACTTCTATCGTTCTTTTTGCTTTTTCAATATAGATGATGGTTAAATTTGGTCGTACAAATCATTTAACACATCCATTATGTGAAACATTACTTCGTCAAAAATGGGTTTCATATGGTTGTCCAATTTATATACTTGATTTAAGTTTTTATCTTCTTTTTCTTTTTCTTCTTTCATATTTTATTATAACATATCCTTCATGTAATCATACTGATCCAATAAGTTGGAAAAATTCTGTTGATTCATGTTCAAAACATAATTTTATATCATTTCAAAATGATGCAAAAACATTTCAAATAATTAGTATTTGGTTTATTGTTCTATATTGTTTTTTAAATTTTATTATGGAAATTATTCAATTAATACATGATGGTTCAGAATATTTTTATGATATTGAAAATTATATACAATGGATATTATATGTTACAACAAGTATATTTACATTACCATTTTTATTTAATCAATCATGGCATTATCAATGGGTAGCTGGTTCGATTAGTATATTTACTGCTTATTTAGCACTTTTATTTCTTCTTGGTCGATTTTTTATTTATGGTATTTATGTAATTATGTTTTTAGAAATAATGAAAACATTATTACATGTTTTATCTTTATTTTCAATATTAATATTTGGTTTTGCATTAACATTTTGTATAACAAAACCATTTGTTCAGGTAATATTGTGAAATAAATTAAGAAAAGAAGACGGAGAATATAATAAAATGTATACAAATAGATGATTTATTAATATTAGAGATCAGAATTTTGTACATTGTCAAATTTTAATCAATATTAAAATTTAGAATTAAAATTAAACACATCATATAGTTTCAGAGGTAGATTCCCAACTAGAGAACGGTGGGTCCCAACAAAAAAGTTTCATCATTTTTTGTCGGGTCCTGTTACATCCTTTTGTAGACCCGCTGCTCTCCAGATGAGAACTACAGCAACAAGATATAACTGTACGTCGAGTTTTTTTCCTGAGAATACCGAACAAATAATTAAAACCTCGGATTTGGATCCAGCCGGGCTCGGATCCGAGTTCAAATTTTAAATTTTTTTCGGATCTATGTTCATGAAAATGTGGACCTGCAGCTTTCTCTTGTCAATTGTTTCATGTCATCTTCAATGATATTTTGCCCATATGTTAAAACAAGCTACATTGAACAAAAGAATTTCAATCTGATATATAGCTTTCAAAGTTTCAATGATATTTGCTTTTTTTTAATAATATAACATCACACGATAAGAAAACATTTTTTCCCCATTGAAACTTTTAGAGTATTCCAATGATCACAAGCATTACATATGAACAATATTTTTGGATTGAACTTCTGTTGTTCGATTTTTCTGTACATTCACCTTGTAGTTAATCTTTTTCGGCTATGTAAGCATTGTGTTCAAAAAGGAGGTCCCAGTAAGACTAGAAAAAGCTTAAAAGGGCCGATGTCCATGAACCTCTTATCCTGAATGTTTCAGTCGAAAAGAATGTTCCTTTGTCAAAATATTGAATTTCCAAAAAGAATGGTCGTTTGCTTTATCAACTCAATACGGTCTCAACCGGCGGATATCAGTTCGGGTAGTACTCTCGTAAGTGCGAAACCCGAACGAAATGTTTTTCTTCTGATTAGACCCAAAAAAACTTGGTCCTGCTTATTACATAAGTCATAATAATAAAGATAGTTTTCAAAAAAAAAATAAATGTGGAAACCTCGGATTTAAATCCGAGAGTTATGTGTACTTCAAAAAGTGAATGAGACAGATGTGTCGTCTCAGAATGTGTGGACATCAAAATTGTCGTGGCAAACCCTTTCTGTAAACACTTGATTTCTATTGGCTATTGCTCAACCAATACGATTTTGAGGCAAATACAGCTCAGATTTGAACTCTTCACCTTGATTTTCTCTAAGAAACTCGTTTTCCTATAACTTGATTTCTATTGGTCACTGCTCAACCAATGGGATTTCGAGGCGAATGGAGCACAGATTCGAGTTCTGCATCCCAGAAAACCTCGAACTATCATCTCTGTGATCGGAAGATAGAGCTCTAATTGTGGATCAATTAGAGCGTGGACAAAAACAGAACCGAATTCCGTTTAATTATCTTTGCAATAAGTGAGTTAGCTTTCTTGTTTCCTTATGTTTTATATACCATTTTGTAGCTCTTGAAATTCTCTATCGAATGGTATATAATAGTTGGGGTTTTATTTGACTATGATGGGAAAAGTTTTTTATGAAAACAGAGAAGGGTCTATCTTCTCATAGGGAAAAATGACTATTTTTGCAATAACTCAGCAATGGTTCGGCCAATCATTCTCATCTTCGAACTCGACCGAGATATTGTTAAGACTAAACTGTGTAGAAAATTTCATCGCGATCGGACTCTTCTTTCAAAAGTTATCGTGTTAACGGCCGGACGGACGGCCGGACACACTGACCGATTCTAGAGTGTACTCACTTTTTGAGTACACAAAAAAGAGAATTAATGAAATTTATTTTTATTATCTATGTAACTTTAGGATCTTGACCTAACAAATCCACAAGATTTCTTTATGATTGTACTTAAAACTATAGCAATGATGTTAGGTGAACTTGATTATGAACGTTCATATTTAGAAAATATTAAAGGACAACATTTTAATACAACTAATTTAATAATATTACTTATATTTGCAATAATAATGCCAATTCTTCTAATGAATTTACTTGTTGGTTTAGCTATTGGTGATTTAATGCAAATTCAACAAAATGCTCGTTTAAAACGTCTTGCTACCCAAGTTTGTTTGTTTTTTTTTTTTGTCTTCAAAATTAATGTTGTTTTTTTGTTTTTGTATTATATTTAGGTTCAACTTCATACAAATCTTGAAAAAAAATTACCAAGTAAATTAATTCAACGTTGGACAAAAAATGAATATGTTGTTTATCTTAATAAAGGTATTTGTAAGCGTTTTTCAACAGTATTTAAAGAAGTAAGTTATTAATAATTAAAATAAAAAAAAATAATTATTATAAAAAACTTTTTTTATTTCTAGTGGATTGCTAAACCTCTCGATGTAAATAATGTATTAGATTCATATGATGAAAATTGTACTGAAAGAGTTTTATTTGTAGAATTATATAAACAAAAACGAAGGTAATATTTAACATTTTTTTGTTTTTGTAAGATGATTATTATTTTTTTTTCTTGTAGACAAAAAGATATGCAACGTCAATTAGAAAAAATGACTGATCTTGTTCGATTAGTTTTACAAAAAATGGAAATTCAAACTGAAACTGAAAGTGATGATATAACATCAAATGATAAAAATGAAAATTTTCTAAAAATGCAAAAATTTCGACACGTATTTAATGTTACACGTCGATTTTCTCATGCACGTTCTATAAATGGAAATAATCCACATTTATTTACTCATTCCGAAGAAGCCTAACTTTGTATATATTTATATATTGTATTTGTAAAATCTATTTGCATATATAATTATTTTGAAACAAAAAAATAAAAATAAAAATAACCATAAATTTAATCCAAATAATTATATCGAAATTAATATTAAATATTTTTTGTCAGTATTATATTATTGTTTTCTTTTTTCAAATAAATTTATTGTTAATATATACAAGAGATTCTTAAAATATTGTATATTTTAATTATCTATTTATTGAATAGAGAGAAATATTATTTTCAGAAGATCTATCTGAATAGTAATAATTTGTAATTTTTACCAGACTATCTATTGAAAAACTAAAGAAATGTTCTGATTATTTTCATTGACGATGCTTTTTTTTCCTATAATCAATGCGAAATTATGCGTAAATTGTTGTGACATTTTCGCTTCTTAGCTAATCATAAGAATAAATTTTTACACTTTTAATATGCTGATTCTTCTAATAATTTAACTAGGTTTCCTATTTCAAAAAACTAAATCATTGTTCTACATCGACTGAATTTTGTGGAAATTTTCAATAAAAATTCTTGATCAACGAATAAATTTATCTTTTTTTATATTAATACGAGCCCACTTATGATCACATTTCAACATGTAAATTAAATAAAAAAAAAAAATTCTGTTCGTGCATATTTATTAGTCAAAACGAAGGTCATATTCAAATTGTTTTTCTTTTTTGTGTAATCCTGTTTTCTATCAACCAAAAGACATTTAATATTGCTAATACAATACGAAAAAAAAAAAAACCTATTAATTTCATTTGATTAATCATATAAAAGATTTTCTCATTAATAGTCATTAACTATAATATTAAAAATAAACAAGATTAGTATTACAGATAGACGAATAAATTTATCTCTCATTTAAAACCAAAAAAAAAAAAAGCATTAAACTATATATAATTGATATTAATCCATCATCTTTCATTATTGACAAGCATACGATGATGAGGCTAAGACGTTGTATAACTCGATCATTTACTTTCATACGTTAATTACATAGGAGAAGAGAAAAAAAAAAACGTATCATCATTTATTTAATAAGCTTTGCCCATGAAAAGTGAAGAGTAGTGAAAGTGAGCGTCAGCATCATCAGTTAATCGATATACATATGTATGTGTTGTACACGCAATAAATAGGTGACGCGTTTATACGTATTCTTATACGTGTGCATGTTCAAAATGAAGTAAAGTGACAGTCGTAATGAGTCTTCTCGTTTATCAAGATATAGAACGAAGTTTGCAACTAAGTTTATTGCAAAAAAAAAAAAAAAAAAGAAAAAAGAAAGAAAATGGAATAATAAATATGTGTAGTGTTATTCAAAAAAAGTAACTCATTATATAATTATATGATACATGTCAAAAGAAAAAAAGTATTTGGTATATCATTTCTTTTTCATATTTTTGATTAGTATTTAATCATATTATTATGACAGATTTAATTACTAATTATAATATTTTCCTATTTTTAGAGATGCTTATTTCTTTTTTCTTTTTTTCTAATGAGAAAACATAAAAATTTTTAAATCATTTAAATTCATCTTAGTGAGATTCAATCTGCTATGATATATTATATATTTAAATGACTCTATCATATAATGTGTTGCTTGCTAGTTGATTCAGCATTACGTACGATCACATTAGGATGAGATGAAAAGAAAAGTATAACTTTTTGTTTTTTTTCTTTCGTTCTCATACGACCAATCATGTGTGAAAAAAGCGCAGTTGTTTTATTCTCTACCATCGTTATCATGATTTTCATTGGTTTTATAGATTCAATATATTTATTTGTCATTCATATTTAGTAGAGAAAAAGAGAGAGAGAGAGAGAGAGAGAAAAACAAATCATAATTATATTACGAGGCAGTAATTATCCATTACAAAACGAAATAACATAACGATTATATATATAATGGTTTCAAAACCTACAAAAGATTTTAGTGTAGAATTTCTTTTACGAGATAATAATCATGATTATGATTTAAATTATTTATCAGAATCTTTATCATCAAATTCAACAATAAATACTCGAACAATAACTTCTAAACAATATTGTTCATCTAGTAAGTTTTTGTTTTTTTTTAATTTTTTAACAAAAAAATTTTATTGAAATTTAAAAATTAGATGAACTTGAACCAAAATTTTCTTCATTACGTACACATAAAAATGGTCGAAAACCACGTACACCATTTACAACAACACAATTACTTGCATTAGAAAAAAAATTTCATGAACGACATTATTTATCAATAACAGAACGAGCTGAATTTTCTTTATCACTTAATCTAACAGAAACTCAAGTAAAAGTATGTATTATAATAAACACATCCAAACAATACAAAAACGAATTTTATTTTATTTTTTTCTTTTAATTTAAGATTTGGTTTCAAAATCGTCGAGCAAAAGAAAAACGTTTATCAGAAGCTGAATTAGATAAATATCGTTTTATACAATTAAAAGATCAACTAACTAGACAATTCGAAATGACATCAACATATTTTCCTTTTGCATAAATAAAAAAACAAATTTTTTATTGTACAAAAAAAAAAAAACCTAGTCTTTGTTTTTATATATATATATATGTATGCGTCTCTTTATTGACGATTAAATGTTCTTATTCTCTATTAAATGCATTCGTTAATAGTCGATTAGCTTCATCAACCAAATAGCAATTGACTCGTTGTATCACGTCTCAACCATTCAAATGTTTATATATATGCATAAAGAAGAATGATTATTGGTATTAGACTAATGAGATAGTTACGATCGTTTTGTATTAAAAGAGAATACCAAATTTTATTTATCTGGAAAAATAAATTTCTCTATAAATTATAATATCGAGAAATTAAAAAACAAAGTAATCAGTATTAGTTTTCATTGACAATCTATTTAAATTTTATTAAAGAAATAAAAATATCAAGATTAAATATCAAAATGAGATAATCATACGTATAGAACTTTATATTAATCAGAATGTATATAATAAAACAATAAGAGAGTAAGGAAAATATTTTCATTAGGAAATTTATGTTCTAGATTTAAACGAGGTTCAGTTCTGATACTAGAGTCTGAAATTTTCGGATTCGAACCCAATAGGCTCTAGGAACGTCTTCCTTCACAATCTTGCGAAATTTTCATTTTTCCTCGGTGGACTTCCAGCGCTTTACTGATCGTTTTTTTTTTGTTCATCAATTGTCCTTCCGAAATCCAGTTAACTTTAGCAAAGATTTAGGTGAGGTACTGAGGGCGATCGTCTCTTCATCTTTTTTTTGATTTTGATGAGCCAACATACTTCAAAACATGTTTTATGACTACTGAATCTTTCAATCAGTTTCATGAGCATCTATCAAATCCCTTCCTCACTAATCCTGACGACTTCGAGACACACCTACTATAAAATAAACTTTTGTTAAACATATAATTTTTGATTTTACTATCATAAAGTATAACTCTCAATATGCTGAATTAAGGACAACCCTTTAATACATAAGATACCTCTTAATATATCTATCGATCTCTCATTTTTTTTTCTCAAATGTTCATGTTTTATATACTACTCAAGGTATACAATTTGATATATTTCGTTAATTGTCTCTATCTTTCTCCCTTCTCTCATTTATCACGTATCTCCTTCGAAAACAAACGATGAAGATAACCCCATTAATTTTTCTCAATTATCAATATCATGTATATTGATGTCACGCATATATACTGAATAGTAGTAGTAGACGAAGGACGACAAAAAGTCAATTGAAAGTTTGTTTGCATGTTCGAAATGTCAAAAAAAATTTCATCGATATGAGTGAATAAATTTTCAATTGACTTTGAAATAAAAAAAGAAAAACGACAAAAATTTGCATATGAAATTCTATTTCTTTTATTAATGAACCACGCTTGTATTTCTGTCCATAAAATGTCTATCAATCGATTATTAAAAGATGTGACAAAAACAATGATTATTTAATTGCAAGAATGTGATATGTATGAGAGAAGAAAGCAGGTGAACCATTCCATTTTATTTCTTTCTTTTTTTTTTGACAATCGCGAAATATTAAATCTGTTCCAATTCATTGAATCACATGGTGATAGAAACGAAAAAAAAAAAAAATCAAATCAAATTTTGATCAGTGAACACACAATAACCGTTCGACACTTGACTGACGACGAGTCTCAATACACATTATAATAGTCATTTAGTTTAATGATGTTGAAAGAATAAAAAATATATGAAAAGATTTTCATGAGAAAAAGAAAGAAAAGTTTATTTCATCTGGCTTTTTTTTTTTGATTATTACACATTCAATTGTATATCTGTATTTTTTGTTCAAAAGAAACCGATTTCCATTAAAGTACATCTGGATAGTGATCTCTAGACTGTTTTCATCAAACGATTCACTTCCGTATTACAATAAAGATCATTAATAAATCGAAGATCAGTCTATATTACATCATAAAGAAATCCAATCATAAGAAGAAAAAAAAATGCGTATGTCAGATGCATATTATCATACTCGTTGCGCTTGTCAATCGTATACAATGATAGATGCATTCTTCACCTATCATCTAATTGCCCCCTAGAGAGAGTCTTGCTATTAGAGTTAACCTCGTCAAGAAAATGAAAAAAAAAAAGAAAAACAACATCAAATCAAACGTGAATTTGTCATTTTCCTCACGTTGAATGTCTCGAACGTAAGAGGCGGATACCTGTCGAGATTAAATTATTGGGATTTGTTGTATTTACGATTAATGATAGTTTTATTTTGATTGATCCTTTCGATCTTTTTTTTTTTTTTCATACTTATTATCTCTGAATAAAGATGCACACAATGATATTATTTTTTTTTTTTTTTTCGAAAAAAAAAGTAATTTCCGTTTCAGGGATAAGCTTCTATTTCCTTTTTCTCATCGATTGAAGGAGAAAGAAAAATAAGAATTCATATTTTTCGTCCAATAGGATGATTTTCTTCCATCTTAGTTCAATACTTAAACCAATCAAAAGTGTTTTTTTTTTGCTTCGTTTCTCTCTTCTAGAAGAAAAAAAAAGAAAAACAAGGTAAATTTGACTTCACAAATTAGAATTAAATCTAACGATCAATCGTTAAAGACATGGTATCTAAACGTAATACTGATTTTAGTATACGTTCATTAATTGATTGTGCACAAAATGATATTCAACATTCCTTATCTCATACAACAAGTCCATCAAAATCAACAAGTAATGAAAGTCTTCAATATTCACCATCATCAACTGGTGGTAGTAGTATTATTACTCGATTATCTTGGTCACAGAACAATAATAATAATAATAATACACAAGTAAATTGGTTACCTGATGCTGAAATTATTGATAAAGCACGTAAGTGAATATACGCAGAATTACAAAGAAAACTAAAAAAAACCAATTCCTTACACAATACCGGATATGCAGAGAGGGATGACAGTCACGCTTCTATTTTTAGTTTATTATATCGATGCCTAATAGGACTTAAAACTTTTCATTTGTTATAGTGGTACATCAAAAAAATTTTAATAGGAAGTTGATCTGAACAAGAAAAAAATTTCCTTGTGGAGGGAACACGGGTGAAAAAGTACTACGGTACAAATTATTGAAAAACTCCATTACGAGCCTCCTTCTTGAGAACTTGGGCCCCTCACTTGGAAAATTTCTGCGTACGCTACTGGCGACTATTGCAAAGTTTTACTTTCTTTAATAATTTAGGTAATAATGAATTACCTAGAATAAATGCAAAAATCTGTTCATTACGTAAACATAAACAAAATCGAAAACCACGTACACCATTTACAACATCACAATTATTAGCATTAGAAAAAAAATTTCGTGATAAACAATATTTAACTATTGCTGAACGTGCTGAATTTTCAGCATCATTAAATCTTACTGAAACACAAGTTAAAGTATGAATTATTTTTATTAAATTTAAATAAAAAATAAAAATAAAATGTTTTATTTTAGATTTGGTTTCAAAATCGTCGTGCTAAAGAAAAACGTATTGCTGAAGCTGATACAGAAAAATATCGTTTTCTACAAATGAAACATCCATTAGCTATTGCTGCTGCTAATGTTCTTCATCATCATCATCAATCATTGTACAATTTTATTTCACCTGTAACTACAACATGTTCATCATAAATAAATGAAAATCTCTCTAGTCAAAATATAAAAATTTACTAAATGACAATAATAGAAAAAGACAATTATAAGATTGACATTCACAGTGAGAGAAAAAAATCGTCATAATATTATGATAATTTTTTGTTTCTCAATCCGTTCATATGTGTTTACAGTTTTGTTTTGTTTTGTTTTGTTTTCCATAATAATAATAATAATAATAATAATAAGAGAAACATATCTTGTCATTGGTTTTTGTTTTTTTTTTATCGTTTAATGATCCATGATTGTACGTAATTTATGCTGTCGATTATATTGTGTGAAATGTAAACGATCTGAACAACCTTTTACTGACGACAACAACCACACCCTATCGAAAAGAATCTAACTATAACAACAGACACGTCTCATTTGTGTTTATATTCAATAAGTATATATATATTTTTGTCTAATCAAGTTTCAATCGAATAATCATTTAGGCCAAAAGGTCAACATATCAAGTGAGATCTATGTCTATTAGAAATGTACATTCACATGCACATTGTGTTTGTTATTTTATTGTCAAATCGATGAGTATCTATTTGATTACAATGAACTTCAAAGACATATGAATCAATTATGTGTCTCCTCCTATCTAATTTAATGATGATGAGCATATTCTTTAACAAAAAAAAAAACAATTATTCGGTATCAAAAGTAAGATCTTTCTCAATGATAGAAAACAATATATGCAGATATAATCAATGAAAAAAGAAAAGATGAAACAACATTGTCATAATGTATTATTTGGTTAATAAGAAATTTTTCAACATATCATTACTTTAAATCATAGTTCAAACGCATTGACAAAGACAACATTTCAATATATATTAATATCACATTATATGTATATTGAAAGTTCAAATAATAGAAATATTTTACTCATATTCAAAGCATTTATGATTAGTAAAAACTCAATCAATGTTGACTTTCTTCTTTATTGATTATATTCAATAGTAATGTCGATGATATATCTTATATACTTAGGTCAATCCAAAAGTAGTGACGGAGACATCATAATTCCTTATAGAAAGCACTGAGAGGCTTTTTTTTATACAGTCTGATAGAGAAAAGAATGCTCTATTTGATTATACATCAACTAATATCATAATAATAAAATTTCGATAAGAACTATTTTTGTAGAAAACAAGCTGGTAGTATTAGATCATAATGGATGTAGCACTTTTGTATTTCATTTTATCATCACGTAATACGTTGTATTAAAAAAAACAAAATATACAACCACAAGATGCAGTATGAAAAGTTCTACAATTTATAAAGGATTGATTATTTTATAGTTGCATTTTTGTTTTCAAAATGGACAAAACTCTGATCCGGTCAAATTTCGATGTTGCAAAAACAAGATTGTTTTTTGGTAAAAGACAAATTCGGTTTTTCTTATCTCATATTTTTATAATTGTTCTTTGTAAATTGTAGAGCTTTTTACACTGCATGTATAGGAAAACAGTCTCTCAGTGCTTTCTATAAGGAATTACGATATCTCCGTCACTACTTTTAGACCGACATAAGTATAAGAAATAAACAAATAGTCTTAATTACTAGAAAAACAAACGTGATATCTCTAGTTATTTCCTATGTTAAATCTTTTGTTCATTAGTATTTGCTTTTGTTAATTAGACAAGAGAATATAAATCTAACGAGTAGCACATAAAGAATAGAATACTTTAATTCTCTTTTTTTTTGAATACAGTTTAAAGAGACCATTCTAAACATATTCCATAGAGAATTTTTGGTTCTACAGAAACTATCGACTTTATTCTTCAAATAAGTTTCCTCTATTGTAGAAAAATCGAAAAAATTGACACCTATTCAGTCATTAAACTACGGCTGTTAGAAAATAAAACAATTATTAAAAATATGTTTAAATAACAGTTGTAACAAAATTCGAAATATGCTGCAGCTTTCGATATTTCGCAATTTTAGTAAAAAATTTTTCATGCACAAATTAAAAAAAAGAACTCAAAAGCCTCTTTCTAATAGCTCTATTCCATTGGAAACAATCTAAAGATTTTCGTTGTTCAGTTTAAATTTTACATAATTTTGTTCAGAATTAAATTCTGCATTCAATGATATATCGTTCGTAGATTACGCTAACTTTTGAAAACACGAATTTCGAAAGTGCATTCAAAACAAATTACCAGTAGGCGTTAGTTTCAAGCCTTTTGCAACTGAACGACATTATTAAGAGCATAGAACATAAAATTCTCTATTTATTGATATAAAATACTTTACATTTATTATCGAATTTAATGAGCAGAAATTTGTGTAATTCATTAGATATCCGCAGCAGATTGCAGTGAAGCAGTTGCCAATTTTTCCTCAACAAGAAAAGCTTTTTTCGCATTTTTGTAGAACAAAAAATTCTCTACCGAATGAGCTTAAAGCGATGTTTCTGAACAATGTTTCCGTTCTTGAAAAACAGAAAATAATATTGTCCCATTATTTATTAGCCACGCGTTATTTCATTATGAAGTTTGTGCGATTTCGCATAGCAGAAAATTGCCCAAACTACAAATTGTCCAATAGTTTTTTTTTTCTTTTGAATTTCAACAATTTTTTAATTCTTATATGTTTATCAATATTTCTCTAAAAATCATTCGATTTTTCATTTATTTCTATCTTGCATATTGATGTTGTTCGACTGTAAGATTACATCTTTTTATTTTTTAGTCAAGTGCATAAAAATAAAAAAAAGTGGTTTCTGTTTTTTTTTTCAAAGCTATATTTTTATTAAGATATATCACCAATAAGCACTCGGACTAAAATAGCAAAAGGGAAAAAAAAACTCTAAAGTAAAAAAAAGAAAAAACTTATAAAGCACCATTTAGAAAAAGTCAACAAAATAATTAAGAGTGAACAAGAAATGAATATGAATGACCTATTTGTTGAATAATCATTAGTTTTTGTTTCACCGATAATTGTGTATATGTTAATAAATTAATATCTTCATTAAATTCTTTTGAAAGCATACGTTTTGATTTAAGTTGAGTAGTAAAATATTTTAATTCATAAAGTAAAGAAAGAAAATAACCATATGTTAAATATGTCATTTTTGTTTGATCATTATCATTTTCTTCATTATTATCTTTTTCTTTTATAATTAATTCATTATCATTTATTGTTAATGCTGGTATTTCACTATTAAAAATAAGTACATGTTCAATTTCTCGAAGTTTACGTATTATTTTTTGACGAAGTGTTGATAAATCAAATTTTCGTTGTTTAATAACTCTATTAGCAAGAATATTTTTTGTTGAAATTGTTATAAATGTAATTACTAATAAAGCAGGTATAGTAGCAAGTAAACTAAAATTAATTTCATTTTGTTTCATTAATTGATCTATTTGAATCACTAACCCTTCACCATCAACTTTTACTTTTTGAACTTGAATTAATATACCTAAAACGAATCGAAAAATAAAATCATTTCAGTCATGAATAAACATATGTTAGATAATTAACAAAGAATTGAAGAATTTCTTAGCGATGGACCAGAACACTAGCACCTCGTTTGTTCTGAGCGAACAGTGGCAGATATCGTCCTTGTTAAGTGTGTCGTGTTATCAAGAATACCAATAAAGTAACTGCACATTCGATTATCCTTCTCAGAACAAGAGAGTCGCTAGGATATTAATTTCACCTTTAGCTACTCTACTGACGATTTGTATTCTGATTAATACAGTACATGTATTAACGGCGCCACCTACCATTGCCAACCCAAAATACGAGGGACGCTAGTATTCTGGTTCCGCTGTCACAATTTCTGTTCGGTTTTTTTAGGAATCGAGAGTATGTTTTCAATTATATGATTGTTTTTAATAAAATCTAGATAACCTATAGAGCGAAAGTTTTTGTGTAAAGTATTCATTTATTTTTCAGCTACTTAAATACCATTCGTTATAGCCAGAACCAGAATTTTTGACTGTTTCCAAATTTCTTTTTAAGAGTAAGATTGGATAACTATCATCAGATTGTTTCAAAAAGGTCAAAAATAATGATTTTACAGAATACTATTGTATTTCGATTGAAAATTATCCAATTCAAAATCCGAAACAGTTTTTAATACTTCAGTTCGCTCTACAAATTGTGCTATTTAGTTGTTTTTATTTTATCTTGCATGATAGAGTTATTCTAAAACACAAACTAGCTAAACTAAGCACCGTATTAAAACTGTTTATTCTGCTTTGTACATACACAATTTTAGACTTTTTCAAAGAATTTATTGATAGTTATTCAATTTTACCCCAGCAGAAAAATGTGAATATATATTCGGAAATGGTAAAACATTCGAATCCTAACTAACTGCTTCTGATTCTGATCGGTTATCTTTTAGTGGACGATCGAAGAATGAAGATTTTCGTGCTAAAGGTTAGTTTGGAAAGGCGTACAATAATATGTTTCATGTTAAATTTAAAAAAAAAACTTTGTTTATAATGATATATTAGAGTTATTGTAACTATCAGACAAATTTAATCAACATAATTCTTTATTATTCATTATAGTTTGTAACATTTTTGTTCTACGGACAATGTTAAAATAATATCAAGTTTTTCTTTACTATACTATAAATAATAAGAATTAAAACTACATATAGATCGAAGATTAATTATAAGAGCATGATAGTTTTATTTCGCTCATCATCAAAGAATTTGTGAAGAAACTCAAATTTTTTTTTTCTGCAAAGAGTGATCAGAACTATATATTCATTCTCTTTCACACCATGATTACTGGTCAACAATGTTCTCTTTAGGCATGCATCCAACCCAAAACTGTTCGGATTGGATATTGAGTTCAATCACTTTCAATTAACTAACAATATGAAGTAGAAGTAAGCCAAATGAATCGTTTTCAATGTTGGCTATGGTGGGTCTACAAATAATAAAATGAGTTATGAATTGAACAGATACTGACATCCAAAAAGAAAGTCAACCATGTTCAAAAATACCCGAACTCGACTGAACCGTAAGATACTTTCATCACTGTTCATATATCTCGAGAAATGCTTGTATAATGATCTAGATACTCGACACTGTCTGAACTAGTTGAAAAGTTCATGAACCTAAACGGTTCGATGTATAGCTAATTGTCTATAAATCTTATGAAAAATATTAAAAAAACACCTTTAATTATATTAATTGTCATGGATATAACATTAACAAGATACCTTTAATTAAATCTCCTAAAAGAGCTGATCTTATAGGTCGATTAAGTTCTTGTTGATAATTCTTCATTACAACATTCATATCTTCATTTCTTGCACGTTCATTTAATGTTGATAAAAATTCATCTACAGTAGTATTATTAATTTGTGCTAAACTATCCGCATGTTGACGTCCATATTCTTCTAACATTTCTTCAAGTATTTTTTTAGAATTTGTATAATTTAATTGTGAATTTTCAAATGCAGCTTGTGATGAACGTGATTCAAATGTTGATGCATAGATTGTTTTTAATGGTAATATTAAATGTTCATTGATAAAAAATTTCAATGAATCATATGTTGTATAAATATAATTTATAATTTGTTCTCTATTCGTATACACTTTAAATAATGTATAAAATCCTATCGCGGTAAAACAAACATAAAATGGAAGATAACGTTTAATATGTGTTGGTTTATAATATAAATGAACTGTATCAATCCATCGTAATTTAAATTCGTCAAATGAATTTAACATTTGAGAATAAACTTCAATAACATCAGATAAATCACTATGAGAATTATAATTAACTGATGTATTATCAAATAATATTTTATAAAGTTCATTAGTTGAATTCATAATTAAATCAAGATTAATTTGTTCTTGTTGTTCTAAATTATTTATTGTATAAGCTAAATGACCAATTATATTTGATAGATAATATTCTTGTTTAGTTAAAAATTTAATTTTTTCTATTATACGTATATCATCTCGATTTTTATCAAACCAAAATGTTGTTTTTATTTGATCAAATATACCTATTTCATTTGATTCATTTTGTTTCCAATAATGAAGATGTTGTTTTAAATGATAAATATGATCAAGAAATATTTCACAAATAAGTTTATGTGTATGAATTGATAGAAGTAAAAGATAATTTATTAATCCACGATAATATAAATCATTATTTGTTGATATTATATTTAAATCTTGAATTGATTTTATTGAAATTAATAATTGTTCACGTGTTAATTGTGTTCGATAAATAGGTAATTTATTTGTTAGACATGATGATAGACGATTTATTTCATGTGAAAGAGTTTTACACCAGAGATTATTTATAGAAGATTGTAAACGTTGTTGAAGATCGTCAAGACGTTTTTCCATCTACAATAACCTTATCTCTCTATTTTATTTTATTTTTTTTTTGTTTTCATTGAATCCAAAGTGAATATTTACATGCAGAATTAAAGATAACAAACAAGAGATCAAAAGAAAAAAGAATTTTTTTTTTTTTTTTTGTCACAGAACATCTGTATATAATGAAGTTCAATCAATCCCATGAACTCCATGATGGACCTTGATTGTTATCACCACCACGTCCACCTCGTGCAACACGACCACGACCATTATATGGTGCATAATTATGACCGTCACCTCTCATATTTCCTCGTCGCATGGCTCCACGAACATTTTCTTGATTATATCTAAATAATAAAACTATTCAATGTACGAAAAACTATGCTTTTTTTGTTTTCTTTTTAAACTAACCCTTGACCAAATGCAGGTCTATTATTATTTCCTTCATTAAAATTTGGATTATATTCATTGTAATTATTATTATTAGGCATTTGTCCATATGAATCATTATATGTATTTTGTTGATAATTATTATAACCACTACCATTATAATTAGATGTTGACATGCCTGATGGACCTTGTCGAGATCGTATATTACCACTAGAACGTTGTGAATTATCTTTTGATTGAGCTTTTTGAGCGTCTATTTGATGACCACATATAATATGATTTTTTTCAAGAATTATTTTATCGACAGGATCATAACTAGTTATTTAAGAAGAAAAAAAAAACTTATCTTCATCTCGAAAAATAAAATATAACTTACTCGTCAAATTCAATAAAACCGAAACTAAAAAGAAATAAAATATAATATTACAAGAAATACTTGTAGTGTGGGTTTAAGATTATGAAAATTTTAAACTTGACAAAAAAAAATTTAATGAGAAAAAAATTCGAACAGAAAGACTGAAATAGATACAAAAATCAATGCTAACAAAAGATATCAGATAGATTAAATGATAAATAAAAATACTAAAAGGATTTCAATTTCTATTGAGATTTAACTGAACTATTGAATTTTTTTCTAGAGATTCCAGGTTTTCGAAAAACTCGAGTTTTGATCTAAAACTTTGCGCATATAGAGAACTTTTATTAAAACACTATGTAGTATCTACAAATAAAAAATCATTTAAATCAAAACCAAACATTTGAGGATATTCAAGTTGATGAATAAATTCAGATAGATTTATCAATGTATTCAAGTTCGTCCTTAGAGCATACCAAAAGTTCTGGTCACAGCATTTAAATGATCTTTTCAGATAAGGGAGCCTATTGAGAAATGAAAAACCAAATATCCCATGTCGTAGAGCTTTTTGAGGTGCGTCGAATGGTATATAGTAATTCTTATTTTCATAGGACTTTGAAGGACCTAGAGTCATTTTATTGATAGACGACTACACAATCATACACACACACTGACAAGATAGCTGGAGATGCTACATATAGAAGATTGTAGTCCACCAAAAACTCTACAAAATCGTATGTGAGAAAAAATATTTTACAAATACTAAGGACCACAATATTCAGAAACTTATCATGCTTGGGTATAGATATGTTGTCGTCTATCAGTAAAGTGACTCTACTTCCTTTAAAATCTTATGAAAACAAGATTTACTATATGCCATTCGACGCACCTCAAAAAGCTCTACAACATGAAATACTTGGTTTTTCATTTCTCAATAGGTTCTCGTATCCAAAAAGATCCTTTAAACGCCATGGCCAGAACTTTTGCTATGCTCTAAGTGCATTTCAAAATTTCTAGTTTGTAATTATAAATTAGACACGCATCAGACAATGTTGGGTAATTGTCCAAGCGTTTTTTGACATATATGGGCAATCACGAAAGCAACCGAAGGTTTTATTAAGCTTGATTATTCAGTATGCCTCTAGATCTTCGGTTTTTGAATCATTTATTTCACTGTTTATAAATCTATCATCACCAAGTCTGAAAATGCTTTCTTTTATTAGTTAACTAAAAACGACTGTAAGTTTTTGAATTCTATCTTTATGAGCAAATACTTACCCACGATATTGACCATCTCGATCTTTCGTAATAGTTACATTTATAATTGTTCCATATTTAGAAAAATAATCTTTAAGATCACTTTCTGTTAATGGTTCTTTAACGCCACCTAAATAAAGTTTTTTTACTGCTAATTGCATATCTGGTTTGTGTGATGCTTCACGTGGTACCTAAAATCAAATGAAAACAAAAAAAAATGATTAAAATTTAATCAATTTTGTTGTTGTTTTTTATTTGAATTTTTATTTTACCGCTCGTTTTGGTTCTACAACACGATTATCAAGTGTATGTGGTCTTGCTTTCATAACAGCATCAACACCTGCTGAATTATCAAATGTAACAAAACCAAAACCACGTGAATGACCTTCTCGATCACGTAAAATTGTTGTATTTCTAAATGAATTTATTTATTTGAAATGAAATACAAAACATAATTTAACATACAAAACTGTACCAAATTGTGTCCAATAATCACGAAATGTATTATCATCAATACGATATGATAAACTTCCAATAAAAATTTTACGTTTTTGTTCTGGTTCAAGTTCATCATTATTTACGTTTAAAATATCATTTTCCGTCATTGTTATAGAATTTAAAAATTAGACGACTAAGTTTCTACAATAGAAGACATTTTTTTAATCGAATCTTTTTCTTTTTTTTTATCAAATAAAACAAAACAACAAATAAATCTCAAATCTAACTGAACAAAATAAACGAAATATATATATATGTTAAATTTTATTTCATTTGATACACAACATAATAATTAAAATAATATAGATATACGTTCAACTCGATATAATCATATACTTCTCAATCATGTAGCTGGCTGATCTTCTCATACTCGAATAGAGATGAATACATTTCTTCTTTATCATGACTCAATAATCCTACAATATAAAAACATGTGTGTTCTTATAACACGTATGTGTATATATTACGGTCAAAACTGAAATCTGATCATATTTAGAATTTGATCAAACAAAATTGGAATTCTAATTTTGACTGGACAAAGTTAGAATATTTTTTTATGATGCATATAAATTGAAGAAACTAGAGCGAATGAAAGAACATATCGGCACAAAGGATGGCGAAGATGTGAATAAGACTCAGAAATCAATTGAAACATTTCTGAATAAACCCGATCATGAAGATGCTAGTGGAATTGCAGTTTTGCAAGGTTTACTATTTTCCAGTCACTCGCACTCACACTTACCACAACAAATAGCTGACTAGCCTTCTGAATCTCATCCATACCTTCAGGATCATCTGTGCCGATATGTTCTTCGTTAATTTAAATTTTTCGTGAAAAAAATATTCTAATTTTGTCCGGTCATATTCTAAATTTGACCAGATTCCAATTTTGACCGTAATATATATACTCAAAAAAAGTATATAACATAGACAAACTTACTTGATCAAACGTTTTTTGTTGATCATTATCTTTTCATTGTTGAATTCAAAAAAAAATCATATTCATATATTGTCTTCATCGTCGAATTATCTAGAAGAAAAAAAACGAAGATTCTCAGGAATTGATTATATTGTCAAATACGCTTTTCTTCATGAGTAGTTCATGTCAAAAGAATTTGAACAAATGAATAAAAAGACTTTCGATCAATCTAATTTTATCTGTCCCCCTTGTTGATCTTCGGTGCCGAACTATGACCAGTTCACTGTTTTAGGTACTCCTCGAAAGATCGAATATAACTGTGTTTTTATCTAAAATTTTCTCTACAGAATAGATTTAATGGCTCTTAGAATATTCTGAAAGTTTCAGTCGAAAAGAATGTCCCTTCGTCAAGACATTGAACTTCCAAACATAACCCCATATCACAAAAATCGAGTTCGCTAGAAAATTCAATAACTCAATGAAGGAACATTCGTTTCGGTTGAAACTTTCAGAATATTCTACGGGTCATTTGATCTATCTATAGACAAAATTTTGAATCAAAACTCCAGTAAACTTGGTCACAGTTTGACGTCGAAGTTCAACGAGAACGAAATTAGCTCTCTATCAGAGATGGAATCAGTTCGCATTTTTGGAACTGAATCGACCTAGTTTTTAAAAAATTGGAACCAAACCAATTCCAGTCTCATCTCTTTCTAGAAGGCTTTGAGTTCCAGCTTACAAATTTTTCTCTGATTACACCACTAACCTTGTATAGTATTATCATGTCACTAACAGCTGTCTTGTATTACAACATATATTCTCATATCTTGGTTAAATGAAATGATATTGCAGATTAATATTTTAATGTTTATGTATATATATATTTGAATTTTATATCTAAAAATACAATTTTGTTTTCTTTTTTGTACAATCTCTAATTAATCATTGAATTCCAATACAAGCAATTGTGAAAATTATCAAAAAGAAATTTGAATTCGTTTTTTTTTTTTTCTATATATATATATATTCCAATTTAGAATTTATTCGAACCAACAGCAATAGCAATAATAGCACGCGATCTCGTTTTTCACATAAATATTCTCAAGAAGCTGTAATAGTAATAATAGTAAAGGTAGATAAACGAACGAAAAAAAAAAAAAGAAAAAAAAGTAGAACTGTAGGAGAAAATGAAAAACCAAATGAAAGAAAACGAGATACACTGTAAAGAATAGGAGGAGAGAAGTATAATCGAAAGAACAAAAAACAAAAGAAAAGAAAAAAAAAAAAAAAGTGAAAATTTGTACGCATTTTTGCGCACAAGAATATATAACAGGAAAAAAACAAAACAAAAGAAAAACAAACAGCACCACGTTGTAGTAGAAAAAGAAAGAAAGAGAGAACAACATTCTAGGTTTTTTCAAAAAGTAGCAACTACAATAAACAGAAAAAAAAATTAGCCACAAAAAAAAAAAATTACATGATTATCCCAAGACACACATGACAAGTTGCATAGACAAAAATAGAACCCTTAACCAAAAAACAAAAAAAAAACCGAAAGAATATATAAGTAGTTATATGTATACACAATCAAACATATAGAAAAATATCGAGACTAGATAGAATAGACGAAAACCGATGAAAACCATAAACAGGACCGGGAGTAAACAAAAAAATGTTAGGAAAAAAAAAAACAAAAAACTAATATAGGGAAATGATCGGTGGTGACAATTATTCTTCTTAATATGTCTTTTTTCTATTCCTTTTCTTTTACTCACAACAGACACCGGAACTACACACATACACACATAAACATTGTTCGAAAACATAAAATATGATCAATATATTTCTTTTTTTTTCCCCTTCTTCTGATGTTTCATATTCACCGGCATCAAAAACAGAAACACTAACAATAATGATGTTATTGACTGAAAATAATAATCAGATGGAAAATACTGCTCAAGATCAGAACAAAAGAAATATGAAATAATAGAGTAACAAAATCAAAGAAAACGGGGTCACTGTTCTCAAAACACACACACACACACACACACACACTACAAACATTTAGGAAAGAAAAAAAAAGGCCATTCTACATAAGAAATACTGTTCTCTAATACATCAGAATAAACTATACAAATACGTACACTTGAGTAAAATCCTCAATGTATATGTAGAAATGAAGCCTAAACACAAAATTCGTATTGCGAATGAATGAACGATGATATCTAAGAGATTTAACCTTATGATAATGCACACGAATTAAAATAGAATATATATATATCAACACAGATCAACCTGTTCCAAATTGTTCATGCGAATCACTATCAATTTGTGCATTAGATATTGAAGGTGATGGTACACCAGTTGTTGATGTTGAAGGTGGACCTTGTAATGATTCAGCTTCATCCGATGGAATCATCAATCCTGATGTACCATCATCAAATGTTTCACTTGTACTTAAATGATGCATATCATTTGCCATTGATACCATTGAATTACTTGTTGTCGCAGTAGCAAGACGATGTGATGATGATGATGTTGTTGTTGATATTGCTGCTGGACTCATTGTAAAACTACGAGTTGCTGAATGAACTGTACGTGCATGACGTCTTAAACTATTTGAATGACGAAATGCTTTACCACAACTTGTACAAGTAAATGGCTAAAGAAAATTTTCAAAAACAAAAAAAAATTACTATAATCTTATTCGAATGAAATTCCTATTAAGCATCATAGCATATGAAGAATTTTTCGTAAATGTTATCAATAAAAAATCTAATACAATTTTCCAAAACAGGAATATGTAACGACGACAATGCACCGGTCTAAACATGTGCATACAGACTACTGAAGAACACATAATAAAACTACGATAGTCTTGGATCGATATCGATTTTTTCAGTTGGGAAGACAATTTCAAGAAAATAGCTGAATTTTATAAAACATGACTGGATCATGAGAACTAACGAGGGAACCTCACCAACTGCTCATAGCGTAGATAAAAACCCTAAAATGGTTCATACTCTTAGGCCTTTCTTCTTGAGTTATAGTTATTTTATTGAATTTTCAGGCAGAAATTCCTTGTTGCGATTTTTTTCATAATACCCTCTGACAGGCTGAAAATTCAGTAAAATGACCATAACTCGAGAAGAAAAGCCTAAGAGTACGAACCATTTTAGGGTTTTTTATCTGTACTATGAGCAGTTGGTGAGATTCCCTCGTTAGTTCTCATGATCTAGTCGACCAGTGCATTCCTGTTACCAAAAGATATTTTCTTTGTATATAAATAAAAATCTCATACTTTAACGCCGCTATGAATTCGTAGATGACAACTTAAATTTCCTTGTTGACCAAAACGTTTATTGCATATTGGACATTCAAATGGCTAAAATACGAATAAAATATTTGTTATTTTTTGGATAATTAAAAAGTTTACTTTTTTCTTGCTATGATCTCGTGTATGTGTTTCAAGATCAGCATAAACAGGAAATACTTTTTCACAATGTTGACACTAAAAATTAATTGAAGAAAAGAAAAGAAAAAAAAACAAATTCAATTTCTATAATTTTACTTTAAAACCAGTATTTGTAAATTTTTGATTTCCATGTTCATTAATAATATGTTTTTTAATATCATCATCATGAATTCCACATATCCAACATTGTTTTTCATTTTTTGCATGTGTTTGACAATGAAGTAAAAGTGTTTTATCATTAAATAAAACTTTACCACAGTCTGTACATGTACGTGGATCTAATTTTCTTTGTTGTTTTTGTTGTTGAATTAAATTATTATCATCATTATATATTGATTGATGATTTGGTGAAAGTAAATCTGTTGTTGATGTTTGAGATAAATTTATTTTTAAATTATTTGGATATTCATATTGATTATTTGTTGAAAATTTTTGTCGTTTTGAATATGTTGTACGACGTATTAATGATGGTGAAAGAGATAACGACGAATCATTCGGTGTCGTACTCTCTTTACGATCTAAATATAAAAAAAAAATTAATATTTTTAGAATTTGTAAATTATTAAAAATGTTTATTAACCTTCATCGATATTTTGATGTTGATTTAAATAATTTGGATGATAAGTTGGACTACCATTTTCAATCTTGGAATTCATTTAAAGAAATTTGTTCAAATATAATTATTTAAAAAAATGACTATGGAAAATTTTTATCATCCTATGTGATTCGAACTTGGACAATCGGTAGTGCAAACAAACGCATAATAGGAAATTATAATTGCTGATGATTAGTAAAATTTTACTTGTTATTACAGTATGGAGTAGACTGATGAGGAAAGTACCCTAACTGATTAACCGCTTTTCAGTGAAGACTATGTGCATAATGTAAACTCTAAGAAGTTATGAATATCGTGAAAAAAATTTAAGTAATTAGGTTATTGGTCTGAAGATACTGAATTTTTATGGTATTTTTTAAGGCAATACTGAAGATTTCACAGGAAAATTAATTTTCGAATTTTACTTTGAAACTTTGCATAGAGACAGATCTTAATGGAAATAGTTTATTGTGAAAGTTTCAAATATTTTCATTGTTCCTATTCTAAGATATATCTATGGTAAAAGCGTGTCTTTTACGTTGTTCATCTAGATTCGTGCTGTTCGTATTTTAGGATAGGAACAAATAAAAAAGAAAAACTTGAAACTTTCACAATAAACTAATCACATTAAGACTTGTCTCTATGCAAAATTTCAAGTCGAAATTTAAAAATAGATCTATTAAAAAGTAAAAGTTCAATTAAAAAACTAAACATACCACAATATTATGAATATCTGTTGATGATTTAATTGGTGATAATAAAACAGGATTTGATTGTTGAATATTTTTAAATGTTAGTTCTAATGGATGATCAATTAAATCATTAGTATTATTATGATTATCAAGTAATTCATGTTCAATTGTTGGTGATGTCTAAAAAACAAAGATCAAAATATTAATAATAAATATAAAAATCAAAAGAATTTTTTACATCGCCATTATTATTATTTGATGATCGATGATTTGTTAGAACACGTTTTTCAGGTGTTGATTTTCGTTTTCTACAACTTCCACTTTGTTTATTATTTGATGTTATTAATGGTATTGGTGTTAAATTAGTTTTCATTTGTGTAGCTGAAGCAGCTGAAGCAGCAGCAGCAGCAGCGGCAGCAGCAGCTTGTGCTGCTTGAGCAGCTGCCATTGGATCGTTGAAGAATTGTAAAAGAAAATTTCTCTGTATATTAGCTAATGTATTCATCATTGTATCAACATTAGAATTATTATCATTTCGATTTTGACCTATATTTGTTGAATTAATAGAAGCCGTAGATGCCATCATATGAGCAAGACGTAATTGAAATAAATTTGGATTTGATTCTTCAAGTAAATTCATTGTATTACCTGTTGTTATTAAACCATTTAAACCGGATAATGTATTTAGAGGATTTGTTTGTAAATGTAAATTTTGTTGTTGAAATTTTTCTGATGAATTTTTTATTAAACCAATTTCATCATCATCATCATCTTCATCATCATTATTATTATTATCATTGCACTGACCATTATTAGTATTCTTATTAATCGAATTTATTTTTGATGTTGGAATATTTGATGAAGAATTAATACTGGATGATGATGATGATGGTGTAAAATGAAGAGATTTTGATTGATCTGAAGATTTTATATTAGTTGATACATTTGGTTTAATATCATCTTGCTCGTCATCGAACTCCTAAAAAAAAACAAAAAGAATTTTATTTCAAATCTATTTTGGAATTTTATAATCTAAATAGTTAAACATTCTATTAGATCATTCGATTGTATATTCATATAAAATTGATACTTATTAAAGGAATACCCCAGTGCTCACTGGAACACACCATTACAAAAACTGTGTTGGTGGTGACTGACTTTTTGTTTTCAATATTTGTACTATCTATTTTTTTTTCACATGGCCTTATATATTCTATCCCACTGTTCACAAATTTAGCTTATTAGTATCTTTGATGGAATGATTTGTTTATGGTGAATATACACTTGATGATCTGTCTTATGCATATTGAATATAATATCTTAGTAAAATCATTTTGAATAGCAAGAAGGAAAAAGTTTGATCTGTCTTTCTAGAGATATTCTAATGCGGACAATCGTTTTCCATTCTCTCCCATGAAAATCATGACTTTGTCAATTATCTTTATGATTGAAAAACTAAAGATTCTAATTCAATATTAATTTAACTAACCTCTTCATCGTCAATATCATCAAATTCTTCATCAGAATCTGAATTTATAATAGGTAATTGTTCTTCTTTAATTATTGTTGTTTGTTGTTGGTGTTGTTGTCTTTTCTTTTGATATGTTGCTGATAATGATGATGTTCGAAGACGATTTGATTTATTAAATTTAATTTTTAATTGATTTATTGTTTTACGTAAATATTTTGCACATTGTTCAATATCTAATAATATCATTGAACAATCATGACATATAAAATTTGAAAAATTTCTTGTTTGATGTATTTGTGTATGTAAATAACGTAGAATTAAATCTCGAAAACAAACTGTTTGATTTCGTATTTTAATTTGATATGGATTTAATTTATTTAATGGAATTTTTTGACGTTCAATATTTTTAAATAAATTATAAGATTTTTGACAACATATTGAACGATCACGTAAAAGTAATGAAAAACAAATACGACAACGATCACGTGTTTGTACAACAACAGTCATTATAATTATATTTAATATTAACGATGAATACTGTTCGAATAGATAAATTGTTTCATAATTATTCACATTTAATAAATTGAATTCATCGTGGCTAAAATAAAATTTGTTGTATAATAATACGACAATCTATAAAACAACATTGACACATAATATCAAAGACGTTTACATTAAGCTAGACTTATACATATATATAAATAAAGGTGAACAATAACAACAACAAAAAAGAAAAAAAAATACAAAACAACATTGTTGAACAACGATGATTATTTTTTTTCTTCTTTTATCCTACCATTCAATAAAAAACATTTTTAATGGATTACTATAATTGATCAATAAGACGAAAAGATGCTTGACGTCGTGGTGGTAAAATATGTATAAAATTTCGTTTAACATCATTTCCACTATTAACATAACGAAATAATGGACTATGTGGATATGGTTTTACAGATTCAGTTGTTATTACAACAAATCCTGGTACTGTTGATCGAATTGTATAATCATAAGCGACGGATGTCTAATCAATATAAAAGTATAATAATAATTTTTAAAAGAAGTTTTTTTTTTATTTATTTTATTTACATTTTCGCCAGGATATAAAATAAGATTGTTCTGTAAAGTAAGAACAGTATCTTTTTCAACCCATTGTCCATCTTGTACTTTGATAGTACGATGTTTCGGTAGAAGTAAATTTGGTTTAAATACTTTTGCCGTACGTATTGAATGTTGAAGAACTACAAGATTAAAATAAATCAAAATTTATATATATTGAAATATACAATTTATTTACTTGATTGAATAGTACATAAATCGGTAAATGTCTTAAGAGCAAACATCTAAAAAAAAAAAGAATAAGAATAGGTTGAACAAGAGCACAACATTTAATTGATATTTGGCATATCGCTATCGTATGCACACATTCGCGTTGATTGCTGAATTGTGCTATCAGCAACCTTGTTACAACCTGCAATGACCTTCTAAATCAAGGACGCTTCCGAGTTGAACATCCCCCTTTTTCATTCTATTAATATATATATATATATATACGTATATTAGTAAAAGAAAAAAAAATGGAATAGATCCATTTATGTTCATAGTAATCAACTACGTATGTATAAATGTGAGGTAGGTCTTCTCTTTCTTTTTTTTCTATTACAATCGCCTTGAACAAATAGACAGTCGACTGCTGGTAACGTTGTTTCGTTGAATGTTATTAACCTTGGAGTAGAAACATTTGTCCGACTCTTGGTCCTCTACATAAATCGTTCGTATAATGCACTGTGCGTTCAATTATGTTCAAATATTTCTTTAACATTCATAGAAAAAAATAATAAAAAAAATCAAGTAAATTTCATGAAATAAATATTATTTATTTCAATTTCTATAAATAATTAGGTTGATAAACTATGTACAAATCATTCAATGATAAGAATAGATGCTCAATAGTTCAATTTTGACGACGAATGTAGCGCTTCTCATCATCAATGATTGGATATTTGATTTTATCCAATAAAAAATAAATCTTGTTTTCTTTTTTCCAAAAGAATAATTTTATCCATTTTTGACATCTAAAAAATGGCAGATGAAATAAGTTTCGATCGACAATTTTTCAAAAAAAAATACATATCGAAATCATCAATTTATTTTTAATGATTTTGTTTATCTACAACATATGAAAACAAACTATCTTGTTTACAAATTTGTTTATTTATTTTTTTATTAAAATTAACCACATAGGGAATAATAAACCAAAAGATTATGATGCGCTTAAAAATACTATTTTCCTATTTAAAAAATGCCGTTTTACAATATGATAATTTTATTCAAAAGACAAAATGACATTTTGTTTAAATTAATTTTTAGAAAAAAGATATTTTAGCTTATTGAAACAGTCAAACAAGTATAGTAGATAGAATCTATTGAAAGTAAGAACACAAACGTAGAATATAAATCTTCGAGATGTTCCATGGATTCTAAAAAAGATGAAATACAAATATATGTAAATTTTAAATTTTAAAGGAAACGAAATATAGAACAGATCGACAATGTCGAAGGGTTTTAGTAAGCTTTACCCAACTGCCACTTCTCAATCGAACTAATTCATTGTGAAAGTGTCAGACTTTCGAGTATCTTCTATCCTGAGATCTAAATATCAGCACAAAGTTTGCTTTTTCGTATAAATTTATTTTTGACGACTGAACAATTCGTCGCGAGTGTGTGGATATCAGTGTGAATGAGAACCTTTTGTGCACCTTTGAACCTTTCTCAGGATATTTTAAAAATAATATATATGTCATGCGACGAATTGTTCTAGAACCATATTTTCATCGCGAACTAATCTCGATGGGAACTTTTATTGCACAAAATTTGAACTTGAAAGTTGATCTTGAATATGATCACGACATTTTATTGTAAAACTAATTAGAATGGGTATAACTCAATATGGCCTATCTAATGAGGTAAGATTAGAGATGTGCCGGATCAATTTTAGCCCTGATGGCGGCCGCCAGCACCGCGGAAAAGAGAAGTTGTCCCAACCCGAAGTAAAGATTATAATTACATATTGTATCATTTTAAGTAAATTGCCTTATAAATCATATCAATGAGAATATAATTCAAGAGACAGATGATCCAAAAAAATGTTAGCCATCGACTAAATAAATTCTGGAATAGTTTTCTTTAGACCGACACCAAGACCGAAGAACTTGATATTGCACATCTTTACGTAAAACTTATGTCAAAAGGAATTTATCTCCATAAGTAGTCATTTGTTTTCCTAATACATATACTATTACTTCGATAATTGTAAAATTATTTTTAATTATGAATTTATATTATTAATGGAAAGAAAATATTTCTTTCCAACTTATTTTTCACTCGATAAACGTTCAACAGAAGATGCTCATTTAGATATAGCAAAGACTGCACTGTTAAAGGATAATGATATGTAACAACTAAAATGTAAAAAGAAATAACAGGTAATAGATTTGAAATAATGAAACATTAAAGAATATGGACAATTGTCTTACAAACTATACATAAAACAAATTCTTCTATTTGTTTGAAACACATAAGAGTTACTAGCTGCACAACGATTACCTATCAATGATGTGTCTGTTCTCCGTACCAGTAGAGATTTATGATATAATCAAGAAAATTTTGTTCTAAAAAATGAATTCCGAATTTGAAAATGATTCATATGGTTCATGTCATGATTTAACATCAAAAACTATAACTGAAAGAGCCACACTAAATCAACTAACTCGAATTTCACGTATACCAATTATCATTATTTCAGTAACATTGACTTTATCGATGACGGGATTAGTTTCTAAAGAATTACTGAAAGTTATGAAGTACATTCGGAAAAAAAGGAACACTGACAGGTCTGATGGTTTCATTTAATAACAATGAACTTCATCTTATCGTTATATAGAAGATTGAATCTTGTATAATTTTGTTATTCAACTTTTTAATATAGCTTATTGGACATGACTTTCAAGGAGAACATATAATGAGACTATTTTAAGTGTTTAAAAGTTATTTATTTGTTTGTTTGTTATCGTGCACTAGATACATATTAGCAGAAGAAGAAAAAAGCAAGTAGTACAAAATTTGATGATGGTATATTAATTCAAGATAAAAAAAATGGCAATTCGATAGTATTCTATCGAATGACTGATGATACTTTTCCATTCACAAAACAAGATTGGTTTTAGAAATATTTTACCAAATAAAATATTCATAAAGACTTTCTTTTTCATTGGATGAACGTGTAGTAGCTATATTTGCAAAAACTAGCCATAGGGAAGCAATCTGATTGAGATTTTCCAGCAAAGTAAATTTTTAATTTTAATAATCTAAAAAAAAGTTAACCTTTCTTTTCTATAATTCGAACCATATCATGTAAAATTAATTGAATTCGATTCAAATAAATGTCATCTTGGTTATTCTCGTGTTTGAGCATTTTGAAATTCACTTGATTAGTATCTTTAATGTGCAGTATTCATTAAAGATTTTTATTTTATTTTATTTATATTTATGGCGAAATATAAACTATGTTTGATGTAATAATTGAAGATTTCATCATTAATCAGTAAAAGTCGAACTCATGTTTCAAATTTTTTTTTTTTATATGATTTAATTAGTAAATCATTTTACTCCGTCTGTAGTAATTTAAGTAACTGTGAAAATATTTCTTTTATGTGAAAAATATTTGACATGCAATTAAAACAACATTTCTCTTTGTGAGAGGATTTTCAATCAACTCTAATACATTGTTCTATTTACTATTCAACAATGATGAACATGTCAGATCTGACAATCATTAATAAATTAATATTGTTTAGTGTTTTAAATAATACATGTCAAACATTCAAATAGATTTTGGAATAAAATTATGAGTTTTTTTTTAATCAAAAATCAAATCTCATGATAAGACCTGATGAAGGCTTTGAGTGTGGACGTTTGTCTGCTATTGACTTACAAAGAGAATAGAAAAAGGAACATAGACTAACAGTACGATTCATCGAGTTCAAACTTTTAGGGGGCGGATCCTATTTATAAAGTGTGTTACAGACTAAGACCTCGAGATTGAAAACGTTAGGGTTTTTCTCTTATCGGTACCAACATCGATCTAAACGGTTAGGTTGAACAGAATTGATCGGTAGATCGTTCTGCAAGTATGGTCTTCGACGACGTCACTTTCTGCAATGTGGTCATGGGTGATGGTTTTTTTCGGTGAGGTAGTATACCAATTGTTAAACTAAACTGCCCAGGTTGAGTTAGGAATTAAATTAAGTTAGAAACTGAACATCAAAGGAAGTGAATAATTCTTTTTCTTTTTGAGAGTGAGAATAGAGAAGAAGAGACGGCATGAGAATACATAGGACTAAAAGAATGTTAGAAACCTTGTTAGAGAGATGGGGTGAGTTAGTCCCTGTGAGATCCCTCTTTTAAATGCAGACCTTCTAGGTAGGCTCAAAAGTTCGGTCATGAATCAT